CTCGGGTCCTTGCACTTGCGAAGCAGGCAGTGGAACCACTGAGCTAAATCCCTGGCCCTCTTCAAGCTCTTTTTCACCACAGTTCACCTTGGGTAGCCCGCTGCAATACCCTTCCTCAGCTCTCCTCCCTGCCGATATCCACTTATTCCCTGAGGCTTGGTTTCAGTGTCATCCCCACCTGGAGGCTTCCCCTGGCCTCCTGGAATGGATGCGTCTCTCATCTTTGAAGATCTCTTTGTATCCACCAGACCACAAGCTCTAGGAGGGAGGGATGTGCCTCACACACTGCATTTTTCTTTGCCTTAAACATCCTGGACACAAATTCAAAATTGTGAATAGAAGAAAGAAATCCACACTTCCAGGATTCAGCATTGTTACTCCTGTCCTCGTCCAGCACCACCTCCCATGAGTTTTTAGCCTTTAAACATGCTTAATTCTTACATTTTTGATGTGTTCCATTTCCTCCTATTTGGGGGGGAGGGGAGACAGTGTCTTGCTATGTAGTTCAGATGCCTGGGACTCGCTATGTAGCCCAGGCTGGCCTCCATCCTCCTGCCTCAGCCTCCCAAGTGCTGAGATTATAGCATGTGTCACCACGCCAAGCTCTATTAACTCCTAAAATTATTGCTTTAGTCTTTCCTTTGAATACTGATAAACTACTTGTATTTCTTTTTTTTTTTTTTTTCCGGTACAGGGATCAAACTCAGGACCTTGCAGTTGTGAGGCAGGCATGGTACCATTGAGCTAAATCCCCAGCCCTAAATTTTTTGAAATAGCATCTCATCACTTCTTTTTTATACTTTGCTTTCTAATGTACATGTCTGTCTTCCTTCCAAGGTTGAGAGGTCCTAAAAGAACTGTGTCTTGTGTATTTTTCTATTTCCCACAGTCTCTTGCATACAATAAGCACTCAGCAGTGTTTGCAGAATTGACATAAATCTGGAGGACATAACTTGTGATACTAGTCCTTTTAAACAACTTAGGGATGGAGTAAAATGAAGCCTCAACTTTTGAATATTGATCCTGTAGGAAAAAAACTGATTTAATTCGATGAGATAGGAAAATTGAGTAGAAGTCTTAAAGGATAGTTCAGGTCTGATTTTGATTTTTAACTTAGAAACAGACTCTCAAAGCAGTACTGTTGACCGTCAGTGCCATCCGGCTGTTCTGGCCCAGAGCAGACAGAGTGACATGGATGAGGCAGAGGGCTCTGGAGCCTGTGGGCACAGGGAGACTGCTCAGAGGGACTGGAGTAGTGAACGGGAGAGGCAGTTACTGGGGAGCAAGGCAATGGGGCACCACTCAGCGGCAGAGCACTTGCCTAGCATGCATGAGGCCCTGGGTTCCAGCCCCAGCCCTGCCAAGGGTGGGGGCCCTGGAAGGGGGACATAGGAGGATGTATGGGGATCTCTTGGGGTGACAGAAATGTTGTGCCAGCCTTCACTGTCCCCAGTTGGCTCAGTGTGACTGGTGAACACAGAGAGGCGGTGGGCTGAGAGCCAGGCTTGCCTTCCTGGGTCAGACTCAGCAGAATCTTCTTAGCCTGGGGCCCCCTAAAGTTCATACACTGAAGTTTGTTTGTTTTTTCAGTACTGGGAATTGAACCCATGGCCTTCACACTGAGTGACATCCCCAGCCCTTTTATATTTTTTTCTTTTGAGACAGGATCTCAGGAATTTACTAAGTTGCCCAGGCTGGGCTGGAACTTGTGATCCTCCTGCCTCAGCCTCCCAGAATGCTGGGATGACAGGTGTGCCACCAAGAGGTTACCTTGAAGTCTTAATCCCCAGTGTGATGGTGTTTGGAGGTGGTGCCTTTGGGAAGTGATTAGTAAGGAAGCTGGAGCCCTCGTGAAGAGGATTGGTCCCCCAGTGAAACACAAGAAAGCATTTCTCTCTCTCTCTGCCACAAATACAGCATGCAAGTGTTGCTGGATCCGGCTACCTGCCGGGCCCTTAATCTTGGACTTCCCAGCCTCCAGAACTGTGAGAAGGAAATGTTTGCTGTTTACTCAGTCTACAGTATTTCTGTTATAACAATCTGAAAGGACTGAGAGCCTAGTACTCAAATTGATCTTTAGCTTGGTCACAACTTTTTAGCTTTGTTTCCCATTTTTTAAGATGCTCTGCTTTCATCAGAATATAGACTTTTCCTAAGCTTATTGCTTTGTATTTATTCCTTTTATGGTATTCCCATTATATTATTCTACCTGGTGAATTAGATGTATCCTTTTGGGACCAGCAACCATTCAGAGGCAGCCTTTCTCGGTCATTCCATTTGGAGATCGTCTCAGGCGTCCAGAACAGCGATTTTCAGCGCATTGCCTGTGTTCACCTCAAAACAATCTGCCCTTGGTTTCTGGACCCACATTCCCTTAGTCCTCTTCCTACCCCTCACACTGTGCTTTCCAAGGCGCTTTGTGAACTGAGCCTCAAGGCTCTGCTCTGCAGCTTTTCTCATTCTGAGCTGTGGTTTCAGTCACCATCAAATCCCCTCACCTCTGAGTTTCAGGGGTCCCTTAGCATCTCCTGGGGTCTCCAAGGCAACCCACTGAGACCATCCCCCTGATGCCCCCACTTGGCTTTCTGCCAGCATGTTCTCTCTCAGGCAATGGGACCATCAGTTCCACAAGCCAGAAGAAACCTCAGAACCCTCCTTGGAAGTGCCTCTCCAGCACCCCTCAACCTAAAGCAACATCCTCCCCCGATCTGTGGCCACTTCCGTTGCCTCACTTGCTGCCATCCTTTGCCTGGGCCATTATAACAGCTGTCTTCTGCGTTTGCCTACCTGCTCCTGCTCCATTTGGATCTGGAGTCCACACTGCATCCAGAAGTCTTTTCAAAATGCAAATCTTGCCCCGCTTGTTTTTCACTCATTTTGTCCCACCATAGGGGCTTTGCACATGCAGCTCCTACTGGGAGTGAACTTTCTTACTACCTTGTCTATCTAGTATCTCCTCAACTTCTCGATCTTAGCTCAGGGTGATAGTTAACTGTGTCAACTTGGGTAAGAAATGCCCAGCTGAATTGGATCAACATAGTTCTGGATGTGGCTGAAGGGATTTACTGAAGATTGAAGACCCACGCTGGGTATGAGTGACAGTAACCAACAGGCTTGCCGCCTGAATGGAATAAAAGGGAAACAAAGAGGCTGGCTTCCATTTCTTCAGAGGAGCTCTGGTCTTTCCTTTGGACGTCCTCTCAATTTCCAGCGCAGATTCTTCAGCCTCCAGCACAGACTCGCAGGGGACACTACAGTGAGCGCCAGGCCTTCCACTGGTTCCTTCGGTCTCCAGCGCACAGCCAGCCCTTTGCACTCTTCCACACCTGACTGTGGGCAGACACTGTAAGCCAATCTTGTAAATTCTTATACATTTGTATATCTTGCATTAAATGTTTCTCTGGTGAGCACTGAGTGATGCACACAGTACCCTTGTCAACAGTGCTTTTCCATGACTCCTTACAGGTTGCCAGCATTCTACCTCGATCCTTAGCACCTGTTACTCTGATTCCTGCATCACGCGATTGTTTCTCAGCAGGCTATAAGCTCCAACAGGGCAGAACCTTGTCTGTTTGCTCTTGCTGTGCTCCCGGTGCCTGATACAGTAGACAACGGGTAACAACATGTAAATGCAATTTTGGAGGACAGGGAACATAAAGCCTTTGTCCTTGAAAGTTCAGGGCCTACCACAACTGGATGGATAACGTATATTAAGTGTCTGCGGATGTGCTGAAATAGAGGAGACATCCGTTCACTCCAAAGTAATGTTCAGAAGTCTGCCACACATCTCTGACGTGATAGAGACTGGGGTAACCAGGACAGGCAGGATTCAAACCTGCTGGCTTTAACTCACAGCTGGCCCCAGTGTGCTTTCACTCTGTGCCTTCCTGTTACTTGTCCATCTCCGCTTTCTTCCTTTTCACTTTAGCAACCCTGACCCCAGATCCCAGGCAACTTTGACCCCTGCCTGTACGAACCCTAATTCTCCAAGCCTTTTGAAGGGGCTGTTAGCATTATTCCGGTGACCAGAACACTCTGCCAGCCCCAGTGATCAGCCAGCCAGGCTGCCCTTCTGGAACTGGACACAGAAAGTCCTCTTGGGTGTTAGCACCAGCCCTGGGACACCTGATCAAGGCTAAGTGCTGCTGGGCAGGGAGTGTTCAGGGCTGTGGCACACCTGCAAGGGCACAAAGGCTCTCCTGGCCCAGGCCAGACCCAGGTCTGGAAGGAGACTTAGCCAATTTCAGTGCAGCCTCATGGAAGCACGGGGGCCAGGACAGTCCTGCTGCCTGGCTTTCTGGGCTCCTTAGCTTCACAGTCCAGCTCCAGGAATAAACTGCAGGGCCGTGACCAGGAACCCTCCATCCTATCAGAAGTGCTTCAGAGCAGGCAGGATCACTGTGGCACTGTCATTGAATGTGGAGAAGCCCAACTGGAGGCCAGAGTCTGCAGCCACTCTTCTCTGATTTCCCTGGTTTTCTGACTCTCTGCGTGTGCCCAGAGGGTCCCCTTATCTATCTTCGTGCAGCTTGCCCTACAGTGGAAAGGTCACTATGTTAGCCAGCCCATTCTGTTATCTCCTCTGCAAATCCTATGGTGGCTGCAACTACCTTACTTTGAATTCCTTCAGATTAGCAGCTTCTGTTCCTGAGCTGAATGAGTCACATCCAATGTGAAGGCAGCAGGTAATGTTTGTGTAAGGATAAGGAGGATAAGGAGGGAGTAGCCACAGGCTGAGCCCTCAGATTTTACTCAGAGACCCGGCTTTCTGGATAAATCACAGTTCTGACCACTTTGGCACTGTTTGATCAGTCTCACAGGGCACTGCACAAAGACAGAACATGCATAGGAAGTTCCAATAAAATGTTCCTAAGACACAAGCCCCATGGCACAGAGCTAAGTAGATTCCAAGAATCTTAGGATCCACCACCAGGTGCATCCAGGTGTCCCTGGAGCACAGATCTCAGGGTACTGTGCCGGTTATCACTACTATCCCCCACTGCTAAGCTGAAATATTTATTTGAAAAACTGAAAACACAGATGAAATGTCTTATACAAAGAAGGGTCTTAATACCATAATAAAAGTATTGTTGGAAGGAAACAAAAGCCAGTGGCTACCTGCCCTGGGAAGGTAGGCACTCAGTGAAAAATGAAATTTATTCATAGGAACTATTCTAATGGAGAATTGGGGGAAGAGGTTAAAAACAGAAGAAAAACCAACCCAACCCCATCCTTGCAAACCTAAATGTGAGTTTGTTGTAAGTTTGAGACATTTGTGTTATCACCTAGATTTAACCAAACCCCCTCGGCTTGTTGCTGTGAGTGGTAATCAGCTTAATTTAGGGCCTTCAAATCTGAGGTAGTTGAGGGTCACCTGAAAGACATGTCTGGGATCTACTCTTGGAATCGAGTTCAACAGCATCTAACCAATTCTATCTCATTGCTTTGGTGCCCAGGGCATGGCAGGCAGTGACACCATTGGGTGTTGCTGGTCCTATATTTGGTCTGGACCTGGGAGACAAGGACTGAGCAGTAAACAGCTTTGCTGTATTGATGGCTGGCAGGCTCTGTGGTGGTGGTTTCCTAGTTTACAGGCAGTGTTGACACTGGAGGACCCAAGATGGCGGAGAGAGGGCAAAGCTGCTCTGGCCAGAAGGTTTGGGGCAGAAGGCTTTCCTTGGCAGGAAGAATTTCAGGAGATCTGGAAAGGCTTAGAAAGTAGCAAGACACTTGGCAGCTATTAAAGACCAGGGTGAAACGGATCCGGGAGTCCCCTTCAGACTATATAGGTGACCAGAAGTGAGATCTTCCCAGGTCCCAGCCAAGAACCAGCTCTTCCTAAGATGCAAGAGGCCAAAGGAAACTAAACTGACCGAAATGACACGTCCCTGCGATTCCTATGTCACCTGGCCTAAACCTTGGTGTCTGATTTGGTAGTTGAAAGAGGTTCTTCCAGTGACTGGGTAAGGACTCATGTTCTTAGGGACACCACCGTAGGCAACAGAACCAGCAAATAGTATAAATTAGAGTCTAATTAAAACTCTGTGCTCGGATATAAAATAATCCCACCAACGTAGGTCTCTTCCTCTATTTTTTCCTTATTGCATACACAAGTATCCTTACTCTAGAGGCATTAGAGTGCTGTATTACAAAATTAGATACCAGGCACAGCTGAACTAGAACCTCTTTTCAGCCCTAAGCCAGGATTTTGTTGCCATCCTGCCTGATTAGGCCCCGTCTACACCCACTCATCAGACTTCAGTCACTAAGGAGGCCCAGTGACTCATTTAAAAGCTTTAAGATGTGATTTCTATTTTCACTTAAGGAATTCCACCCCGACTCTAACACACTCATTTTTAGATGAGCCAAAAATAATCTGCGCTGTTATGGAATAATTATACTACATCTGACAGTGACACTTGTGTGACACACAGCCTGTGCTCTGTGTCTTCTTGACTGTTTATAACTCAAGCTGAGCCCAAGAAAGTTTTAAGAAAGACGGTGCCTTCTCAGAGGGAGTGTCATTCAGAGAACCCTAATGTGCTCCAGTATCCCCAATTTCCACCACCACGAGTCTGAGTGGTTTAGACTAGAAGTGAGGCTTCGGTACCACTTTTGGAAAAGGTGACCCACACTGACAATACACTCACTGGCTTAAGTGGCACAGATGGGCTAGGGATGCCACATGCCGCTCTGTGTGACTCTCAGAATGGAGAAACATTGAGCACAGAGAAACAGTGAACATAAGATGGGGCCAGTTCCTACAGTGGATCCCTCCCGAGCCCAGCATGGAGGTCCCATGTCCAGAAATGGTAATCTGAGTTTCGGGGAGACAGTGTTTGAAGTGTCCCACTTAGAAAACACATGGACCGGGGAGGGGAGAAGGAGATTGATTCACAGTGATTAAACAAGTCTCACAACCCGTCATGTAGCAAAACTCAGCCATGCTGCCATGGGCCCAGGTCCAAAGGTGTGCTTGCTTGCTACGACCTGTGAGCTGCTACAGATAAAGAAGGAAGACGCTGCTTTTCCAAGAACAGAAGGTCACTTGATGTTGGGGTCCATTTGGGAGTGGGAAAGTGCTGTCAGGCTCCCTGTCTCTAGGTGGCTGTGCCCTCTGTCCTTGTCCTGTCTGCAGGGCAGCAAAAGCCAAGAACACGTGGCTGGAAGGAGTCAGAGTCAGTGGCCCCCATTGCTTGTTTGCCCTGCCCCAAATGCTCAGAGGAACCTGCTTGCTTTTGGGATCGAAGCCTGGAACTGCCCAGAGATGGCACCCTGGCCTTGTTTGGGATCCCTGATGACTGACGTTGGAGGGCAGCAGTGCCAGGCTTGCCATAGTCATCTTTAGTCCTGATTGCTCCAAGTGTCTATGTCGGCTGTCGCTGCTTGAAGGTTAGTAATAAATACGAAGGGGCCCACACCAAGCACAGGGCTCTTTCCCAATGGGAACAAGAGGGCCTGCTCTGCCAGGTCTGTTAGGTAGCACGTGGAACGATCTTCCTCAGGTTCCAGAGGATGCCAGGGCAGGCGGAGGGAGGAACTGGAGGGGCCCCCCTTACACCCTCCTAGGGCCCTGCCTGGGTTGAAGGAGGTGGCTGGCTTGATATGGCAAGGGCAACTCACCCCAGGGAAGCAGCGTTGCTACTCTCGCCAGCTCCATTCAACTAAGTACTAGGGTGTGTGAGCCTGGTCACAGGAGCTCCAAGAGAGGTGTCCCTGGGAGCCCTGGGGCCGTGTGCACCCTCTGACTCAGGTGCCCTCCAGCTTGTGACGGTGGATAGAGGGGTTCCGCTGGCACCCAGTGTAAAGAAGGAAAGGCACTCGCTCTGCTTCGGCCTTCTGAGGAGAGCTGTCGCCCACCTCTGGTGAGTGACCTCTGCTGACTGGCACTGACTCAGCGGGGCACTCGGCGAGGAGGCTGAGTAGGAGCACCAGGCGAAGCCTGAGCAGTACCGTGGCTGTGCGGTGTGGATCCCAGGGGCTTGGAGCTCCAGGGAGAGTTGATTATATGAGTGACACTTCCAAAATCTAAAACCAAAAGGCTCAAACGACCATCATAAGAAGCAGTGGGAATCCATGGAACTGCTGAAAGGGGAAGAATTGCCTTGCTGTTCTCAGCTGGGATGCCTCCGCAGTCCTGGCTGCACTCCGGGGGCGTCCTGGCTTGGAGGTCACCAGTCCTCAATGCTCGAAAGTTTGTGCAAATGATGAAATGGAAAGGACTGCAGGTAAAGGAACAGAAAAAGCTCAAGATTCTTTCCAACCTCTCAACAGCAATAGGGCGAGAAACCCCTCTAAGAAGGTCACTGATGGCTGTGTGATAAAACAGTGGGTGGGACTGGCTGGTGTCCTCCCTGTTGAGGGGCCCTGTCCCCCTCCTCTTTGGACCCAGGCTTACTCATGGGCAGCACAGGGCGGCCTACAGGGATACCAGGAAGGCAGGGAGAGAATCCCAATCACGAGTTCAAACAGAGGGGGTATCACCGAGGAGGGTGTCTTCGCAGGGTCATGAAGCTTCCTTGGGCTGCTCAGTGGTCACCACTCGGACCTCAAGGATCTGTCCTGAGGCCGGACACACACACAGATGGGGAACGTGGACTTACACTGACTCACAGCACGTTAGCTCGCCTCTATTCTTTTTCAAGTACTGCTTCTTGCAGCGTAGGTGGAGATGCTTCTGTTCCTAAAGGACAAGGATAATTCATGTCACATGGCACTTCACGCATGCATGCATTCCTTGAACCAACAACACTGTCACCATGTTGGGCTGTAACATACATGACAACCATGACCATGCTGTAGCCATCTTCCTCCTTCCCAAGTTCAATGTCTATCCAGCTGACTGCCTTGGACACGTGAGAAATGGCACACACAGAGCACGGGTGACAGCAGTCTTGGAGCTGGGGGTTCCGCTCCACCCCACTCTGCCTCCTGAGCCTTTATATTTTGGCCATCACGGCCCATCACTGGCTTTGGACAGAAACTTGTAATTTGCTTGCCCCTCAATGCCAGACCCCCACTGACCACTATTCTGCAGTGGCCAGGGACTAAATTCCTGGGGTGCCAGTCAGGCTGGTGGCCCGCAAGGACATGGCAGTAAGTGGAGTGTGCCAGTCAGTGTTGAGGTTTTGAAGAGTGACAGCAAAAGTTTCTAATTCACTACAGTTTGCCCCAGCTTTAGGCTTACAGGTCATTTACAAATGAAAACAGGCGCTAAGAGGAGAGCAGGAGGAAGTGGCTGATGGGTCTCTCCTCTCTTGTTCTGTCACATTAGCGGGGAGATCCGGCCATGCAGCTGCCTCACCTCACTATGACACTGCTGGCCCTCAGGGGCAGCTCACCTTCTTCCCAGCCCTCGGCCACGCCAGCGAGCTCATAGTGCTTTTTCCGAAGCTCTCCTAGTTTCTGACGCTCCTTCTGCAGCTCATTTTCCAACTCCAGCACCCTGACCTGTAGGGAAAGGAAGCGAAGGTTTCCTTTGATCAGCTCTCAGATCCCTTATAACTTTGGCAACTGTGTTCCTCTGTTCCTGTTTTCTTCTTCCATCCTTCTGTTTCCAGAGCGTACCCTGTTCTCAGCTTCTGCTTTGCTCTCCGTCCTCCCCTCACCTGTGACCTTCATGGGAGGTGAGCCCATCCTCTGGGCTTCTGGCAGTCGTCATCTGGAACAGCTCTTGGTTTAGCCTATTGTATATATAGTGGGCTCCAACTGAGCTGGGACCCTTCTCCTTCAATACGAGCCCCCTGAAAGTCCAGAGAGGAAGAATTGTGCTTCTGGTATCTCTTAAGTTATTACTGCTATAGGAAGAGGCTTGGACAATCTTACTAAAGAAGGGGTGGTTCAATTTTATTTATTATTTCAAGAAATGTTTGCTGAATGCCCACCAGGCTTTGCTACAGGTGCTGGAGACATGTGACTCAGGTGAACACACAGACAGTTTACTGTGCAGAGAGGAGGAAACAAGTGAACAAGATAATTTCAGACTAAAGGAAGTAACGGCTACATGATAAAGACTAAGGATGTCCAGTCAAGGATGCTCCTGGGAAGTCACTTTTAAGCTGAAACTGACAGGGCCAGCAGAACACAGCTGCCTAGAGAACAGGCAGAAAAAAGAGCAAGAGCAAAGGCCCAGTGGCAGGAATGAGCCTGAGGTTCTGGACGAATGAAAGAGTCCCAGGTGAGGCATGGGAGAGGGGGACTGTGAGGTGATGTTGAGAAATAGCCATGGCTGGTAGGAGTTTGGGTATTATTCTAGTCCAGGGGAAGCCACTGGAAGGACTGAAGCAGAGAAGTGACATGGTGTCCTTTATATCTTTAAAATCCCATGTGGAGGATGAATGAACTGTAGCTGTTCAAGAGTGGAAGTAAACTAGTAGCCCTACAGGTGTAGTTTCTTTTGTTTCTCAACTAAACCATTACAGAAAATGTAAGACATCCACAGAATGATGGAGACAAGCAAGCACAGTGCCTTCCTCTCCTCCACCCACCATCCACTCACAGCTAGATATGTCCCTGTAGCACAGCTGTGCTCCCACTGCCCAGTCTGGGGTCAACTGAGGCAGTTGCACATGACAGTTACAGGTCAGTTGCCTCACAGAAGTGGATGGCTTAAGGCTAAGTTTTGGAGATTCAGAATTGACAAGGCTTGCAGATGGACTGGATATAGAGGGTGAGGCAAACAGAGGAACCATAGATGACCCCTAGTTCACCCAGATGGGTGGCAGTGGCAACATTTACAAGATGGAGAAAATGAGGCAGGGACCTGTTTGGGATATGTTCCACTTAAGATACTTATTGGCCATCAAGAAGAGACAACAAACAGTTTGATATATAGGGAGCTCAAAGAGAAGATCTAGGATAGGGAAAAGAATTTGGTATTTGTCAGCATATAGATAGTATTTAGTCAAGAAGGACTGGATGAGATCACTAGGCAATAGTCCTGTTAGGATTTGTTAATTTTTGTTGTTGTACTGGGGACTGAACCCAGGGTCCTCGCTCGGGTATGCTAGGTAAACACTATGAAGCTACACCTCAACTTTTTTTTTGTTTTGGTACCAGGGATCAAACTTGGGACCTTGTGCTTGCAAGGCAGGCACCGGAACCACTGTGCTAAATCCCTGGACCTCAACCTTTTAAAAAAATTTTTATTTAGAGACAGGGTCTCACTAAGTGGCTCAGGCTGGCCTCAAACTTGCAATCCTCCTGCCTGAGTAGTTGGGATTACAGGCATGATCCACTGTGACTAGTTTCTTTCAGTTTTTAGATAGAAATCTGGCCATATGACTTCTGAAAGATGCTGAGTAAACTACCTGTAGAGCTTTAACAACCCCAACCTGGATTTTAATCCAAGATTGATGAAAAGATAACCGATTTTTTTTCAAGACTCCCACTGATTCCTGTGTTGCACGGTCTAGCTCTACTGACCCAGGGAGATAAATGGCATTGCCTTTGAATTACCATTGAGTTTTATTTTTATTTATTTTTATTATTATTTTTTGGTCAACTTATATTTTCAACTAAAGGTCATACACACTTTGTATCAGAAGTTTTGGAAAACATTATCTATACAAATGAGGTAGGAAATTAGGGCATGGTGAACTGGCTGGGCAATTGGGCATGACCTGTCAATCACGGCCAGGACACATGCAGAACAGTGGTAGGATGGCCTGAATCTGACATCAGAATGGGGGTATAAAAGATGGCAGCCATTGGCCTTGTGGCCACTGTCTTTTTTCTCTTGCAGTAGTCCTTTATATGTGTAGGGTATACTTTATTTTCCCACACTTCTTTTTCTTTATACATTTCTTCCTTCCTCCCTACTTTTAGCTTTAATAAATGTAAAATCTCAATGTTCTTCAGTTGTTCTTTGAACAGGACAAGAGGCTGGAAGGGACCTCTGGGCACCCCAGGATCTGGTGACAGGAAGACTATTAAGTAACAGTTTGGGCTGCTTAGAAGATCCCTAAACATATCTGGAGGAACCAATCCAAGATCAGTTGGGAAGAGTTCCAGATTCTGATCTTTGCTCATCACCACCTCTCCCATTTCCACTGAGTCTTCCAACATCATTAACATTCAGTCTTGGGCTAGCAGGAGCATGTGTGTTCATTCCCTCCAAGTTTCTCTCTCTGGCTTCTCTCCCTGGGAATAACACTGGGGGCTGATGTCTATGCGAAGGAGATTTCTAAACTCAGAGACGGTGATGGGGTTCTCACCTGGGAATCCATCTCCTGGCGCTTGATCTGGGTCAGTGTCATGCTTGAGAAGTCCATATTGTCTGCAAGGATGGAAATAAGAAGGTCTTGTCAAATAATGTCCCTGGCTGATCTCCGCCAGGCAATGCCAAATGCTTTGCTGAATGTTTGGCCTGCCACGTGCCAACACGTACATAGAAGAAATTGAGTGGTCAAGAGGAAGGAAGGATGAAGGGGGTAACCTGTATTTGCCCTCTCCAAGGGGCAACTGGGTTGTAGATTTTTCATTTAGCTATTTCTCTGAAAGTCTCCTTAAGGGCCTGTCATTGTAGCACTATAAATGACATGCTTATATGGTATTCCACCTTAGAAGAAAATAAGTAAGTACACATGCAAAAAGATGAAAAATAAGAGCATTTAGAAATAGAACTATGGGAAATTGGGATCATGGGATAAAATATAATAGTGGCTAAACAGGGTGGAAGAGAAAAGCAGTACTTCTGGAAAGCTACCTGTCTCCTCAATCTGTGATTTGCCAGAAATAGTTGAGGCCACCACCCCTGCTGTAGCCTGGTTCACTCCCCGAGAGGCCTGCTGCAGCCGGGCAAGGTTGGGGCTGTCCTTATCAGCTTTTACCTGCCGGGATAAAGCAGATTTGGGGTCAAACACTTGCAGGAGCAAGGACTGCATCAAACAGTTGGTTTGATGGTTCTTGACAAATAAGTGAGACCCACTGATGTTACCAACCAATTTCTTAAAAACTTCTGCCTATGGAGTCCTCTCCCAGCATGCCTACAATCTGAACAATCCTTCCCAGCTTATGGGCTTGGTGGCCCCAAATTCTAGCTTTCTCACTTACTTGGATAAACTGTTCCAGTTGTAAAAGACAATTTGAGGCAACAAAAAATACGAACAAATAAAGAACACTCACTGGAGGAGGATTGTGAAAGCTTTAGGTTCTGGTTACAAGCTTTGCACAGGATTAGCTGGGGTATTGGTTCAAGTTTGGAGACTAACAAGGCGGGGCAAATATGTGTTCTATGGAATCCCAGAGCCATGCCAGGTGGCATCTTTTCCATGCCAACTGGATCCTATCTGAGTGTTCCTTGATGCTGAGATTACTACTTAGAGACCCTCAAAGGCCCCAACAGAAGCAAAGAGCCATAAGGCACACAGGTGGTAAGCTGGGGAGAGGGGGTCCTTGCCGGCAGATACTAGGTTGTTAGAAGAGGGTGGTATGAGACCCTGAGGGGCAGAATTTGGGACCCAACCTACCAAAATCATGGATATATCCTGTCCCTGGGGTCAGCTCCATTGTCCAAGGCCTCTAACCCCGTCAGGCTTCACAGCATCCTGGGGAGCCCAGCATGGTCTTACCTTGGATGCAGCCACAAGCTGGGCTGTGCTAGCAGCGATTTCATGGGAACACACCAGCAGCTCCTCAAATTTCCCTCTGCCTTGGACCACTAGGTCAGCAGCATCCCTGAGAATCAGGAAAGGAGAAGATGGACAGGGTCACGGGCAGCTGTACCCTCACTCCAGCCTACCCCATGGCTCTGGCTAGACAGGGAGGACAGCCTGCCTACCCTGCCCTTGTGGCATCCTGGGAGAACCCAGGTCCCTTTCAAACTTTTAGTCCCACTGATTTCCTTGTCAATAGTTCATCTCTAGGGGATGGTTTATTTTCCTCGCTTAGCATTCTCTGGCATGGATCAACAGCAGGGGGCTTGGCAGGAAGCCTTGGATCAGACACTTACACCATGATGGTGGCTCCCCAGCCCACAGCTTTGGAGGCTGAGATGAGTCCTTCTGTCCACCGAGAGTTCTTGGCATAAAATTCCTTAGGGGATGCGGTACCCTTTAGAAGTGAAAAATAATAACAGCTGTTTTCATAGAGTACCTATGACAAGGCAGATGTTCTATATAATTCTATAGTCTTCACTGCCGCTTTGATGGAAAGCATCATCATTCCCATTTTACATAGAAAACTATGATTTAACCCTGGGCATGGTGGTGCATACCTGTGTAGGAGGTCACTGCAAGTTCAAGGGCAGTCTAAACTACAGAGTGAGATCTTATTTAAAAAAACAAAAAAGTATTCTTCAGGGAGGCAAAAATATTCTTCCTGAGGTCATGTAGGGAATAAATAAGAGTATGTCCTGGGCTTCCCTGACTCCCAACACCTGTGTAGTGTCCAAGTGTTGTACACATATAAATTCAAGTAACGATGGACTGAAAACAACTGGGGATGGGGGTGTGTGTGCTGAGGGTGTAGTTCTGGGGCAAAGCACTTGCCCAGCATGCATGAGGCCCTGTATTCAATTCCTAGCACCACAAAAAGCCGGGGAGAGAATCATGTCTGTACTGAACATGGAGTTTCTCTAGTCATTATTCCCTAGTGTTTACACTGTATCAGGTATAAGTACAGCTGATTTAAAGTACACAAGAGGGTGTGCACAGGTTACATGCGAACATCACCATTTTATACAAGGACTTGAGTATGCTCGGATTTTGTATCTGCAGGGGGTCCTGGAACCACTCACTGAGGATGCTGAGAGGCGACTATATGAATAAAATGAGCAAGTGATGACCCAAGGGGGTCAGCTGTGCTCCATGATTTGCCAAAAGAAGTACACAGTGGGTAATTCTTAAAAATGACTTCTACTTGGATTTAAAAAATACACCTATGCTTGGGAAGTGTCTGACAATCTGCAGATAAACCTCCTGTGGTCCACCTGTCCACAGTAGGGACCAGAAACAAGCCCAGGCTGTAAAGAGAGGGTAGGCTGCTCTTTCTAGGATGCTGTCTGGGCTCCAACCCCTCATGCAGAACCTTGGTCTCCTGGGCTGCAGCTGTGCACTGGATTTGAGGGGAAAACAAGCAAAAGTGACACAGAGGCCAAGAAGCCTGACAATAGGCCCTCTGTGAATGATGAGGCCACTGTACTCCTGGCAAGAGATGCCTGTGGGAAGCCAATACAGCTGGCCCTCCTTCTTTATGGGCTACCTGTATCTGTGAGCAACCAGCCCTGGAGCAAAAATATGTATCTTTAAATTTTTATTTATTTATTTATTTTGAGACAGAGTCTTGCTACGTAGCTCAGGCTAGCCGCGAACTCACAGCAATCCCCCTGCCACAGCCTCCCGAGTACTGGGATTACAGGCTTGTGCAGCCATGTCTGCCCAAAAATGTTTTTAAAAAACCAAAAAAACTGCATCTGTACTGAAGAGGTACAGATTTTTTGTTACTATTTATTTATTTATTTATTACTGGTACCCGGGATCGAACTTGGGACTTTGCGCTTTCGAGGCAGGGGGCGGAACCACTGAGCTAAATCCCTTGCCCCAGAGCCAGCACCATCTATTTTTTTTTTGTACCAGAGATCGAACTCGGGACCTTGTACTTTCAAGGCAGGCGCTGGAACCACTGAGCTAAATCCCCGGCCCTTTTGGTTTTTTGCAACACTACAGCATAACAACTCTTTCGGTAGCATTTACATTGCATAGGTATTAGAAGTCATCTAGAGGGGATCTGAAGTTTATGGGAGGATCTGTGTAGGCTCTGTAAGAGGGACAGCAGCATTGGCAGGTTTCAGTGTCCACGGGGCTCCAACCCCCAGGGACGCTTAGGGACAGCACTGGGTTTGTCCTTGAGATCTGCCCAGTTTCGCAAAGTCCTCACTTCCTCCTCAGAGGACCCACACTGGTAATAGAAATGGGGCTTCCACAGCAGGTCTCCCTGGGCTGCGTGAGCTGAAGCCCGAAGCTGTGCTTGGCTGCCCTCAAAAGCTGGCAGGGGCCTGCTTCATCCCATGGTATCCAGTGTCCACCAGTGTGGCAGCTTTGCCCTGACGGACAGAGGAAAAACCATCGAGGGAGCCATAGCTGACAGCTGTGTGCCCCTCCTCTGCCCACACCCTGCTCACCCTGCCGCTCTCCACGATCTCCCTTTGGAGATCTTTTGAGGCCACAATCAGGACCTGGATGGCTTGCATTAGGCTGGTACAGGAACCGAGGATCCTGTTCAAAGAACAAACAAGGCTGAGACACAGAGACCAAGAACAAACAGGACAGTTCCCTCTCACTCTTTTTTTTTTTGGTACCGGGGATTGAACTCGGGTTCTTGCACTTGCGCAGCAGGCAGCAAAACCACTGAGCTAAATCCCTGGCCCCCCTCTCACTCTTAAGCCCAACTTGAGATGGGACTGAGGGCTGGGAAGGCACCGAGATTGCTGGACGGTGAATGAGAAGACTGATGGGGACCTTCCTCATAAGGAATGGCTCCGCCATGACTCCCAGAGCTCCATTTCCTCATAATGCAGCACTGCTACTACTGCTGCTGCTACCCGCACTGACACTGCAATTCTCCAAGGCTGCTGAGTTTTACCTTAATCCCCTGACGGGGATGCAGGGCATAAGCCAACACCAGGAACATGCGTCAAGGCTCAGACTGACCTTTCGTTCACCTCCAACTTGACTCCTGTGTCTCCTGCTCTGGATTTGCTGAGCATTTCCTGTTGAGAAAAAACATGGTTTCTAAATGCAACACCAATGCTAGGAATCCAGCAATGCCCTTCTACGTTCCAGGTCCAACCTGCTGTGTGTGCTGAACAAACTCGACTCTAGACCCCCTACCTAGAGCTTCTGAGGGTCAGGGAGAGCTCAGGGCTCCTGTCTGTCAGAGTGGAAGGTCACTTTGCAATCGGCGAGGGTCCTGACTCTCAGGCACCCAGGCAGAAGTGCAGAGTGCTGAGAGCAATCACCCCATGCCAAGAAGGGCAACTGCTACCAGCTCCCAGAGGCAGGTGATCCTTCCACAGTGAGCGTGGTCTGAAGTTTCCACCAAGGAGCGACAGGTGACCTTTCCAATGGTGCCCACTCAGCTTTTTCTGAGAGTCATTACTACTGAGTAGGGCTGCCATTCAATGCCTTTGGGTAGGGTCATGATTACTGCCATCCTATAGAAACGGGATCAAAATCTTAGCCAAATGAATATAACTTATAGAAGTCATGCAACTAATAAGCAGTCAGTCTGGAACTTGAACCCTGGATGGTCCAACACCAAAGCCTCTGACCCTCAGGGAAGCTGGTCTGGAAGCTGCTCACCTTCCTTCAGCGAGGACCCCCTGGTTTCTGCTCCTCCTAGATGCAGTGGGTTTGGGTGGGGGTTGTTTTTACAGGGGCCACTTAGCCTTCATGCGTGACTAAGACGTGTCCACAGGGCAAGGCTGTTCAAGGGCAACTGCAACAGTGTCACTTGAGAAGGACCCTACAGGATCCTCCTACCTCGATCCGGGCTGTGGCAGCTTCAATGGCAGCTGAAGTGGTGGCCATCTCCTTGTCCACGAGGTCTCCCAGCTCCTCCTGCTTGATGTCCAGGCCTCTAGGCAGCAGCTCCTATGAACAGCACCACGAAGGCTGCAGTGACACTTGGCAGACCAGTCACCCTTACAAGATGGCTGAGGTGGGAGCCTTTCGTGAGGCCACCAGCCCTAAACCCACATGGTCACTCAGCTGCAGCTGCATGGGCCCTAACCCTGTATTTACACAACTTATTTGCTAGGTGGAAGTATTTTAACACCTCAAACACAAATGTACCTTCCAACCAGTATGACCCAGCAGTTCCTATTCCTGTTGGAGAGATGGAAAACCAAGGCTCAAAGAGGGAGAGTATTCTGACCACAGTTATGCTGGTAATACAAGGGCAAAGCAGAGATTTGAACTCAGGACTGGATGATGCAAAACCAATGTAGCTTGTGTTTGTTTGCAGTATTGGGGAGTAAACAAAGGCCTCTGCACTGAGCTACACCCCTGCTCTTTTTAAATTTTGTGAGAGGGTCTCACTAAATCACTAAGTCGCCCAAGCTGGGATTGAACTCACAATCCTCCTGCCTCAGCCTGAGTGCTGAGATTACAGCCCTGTGATACTGACTAGTCAAAGCCTGTGACTGTTGAGCACATACTATGTTATACCTCCTGGAGTAAAGAGTTTAAATAAGAACAGACTCTTCAACATTATGCAATGTATACATGGTATGGAAGCATTATTTGTTAGCCCACTATTTTGGGCAATTTTTATGTTTTTATGAGGTATTAGTCAAGAAGTAAAAATTTAAAAAAGAATAGACTCATTTTATACTGTCCAACTTCAGGAACAGCTGAAGAAACACTACCATTTGAAATGTATTACCTTTGTAATCCACTTTGTTTCTTGCCTGAATTCTAGCTCTCTTCCTCCTTACCCTCCACCCCAAAATAAAGACAGATTCAGGAGAGTGATTATCATATCTTTGTCTTCCTTTTTTTTTTTTGGTACCGGGGATTGAACTGAGGTCCTTGTGCTTGTGCGGCAGGCAGCGAAACCACTGAGCTAAATCCCTGGCCCTGTCTTCTTTTTTTTTTTAACCCTATATGGATGCATCCTTAAACAAGATATTGTTAAGTTTGAATAGTTAGGTCTTTGTATAAAAGTAACCACACTGTATATATTTTTCTATACTTAATTTTCCCCTTTATGTTCTATGCATCTGGTTCATTCTATAACCTCATAATTTTATTCCTAGGAACATACTCTAGGGACTCTCTTAACACATATGTACCAGGAGACATGTACAAGAATGATCACGGGGGTGCAGTCATAATGGCCTAAACTGGAAGGAACCCAAATGTTCATCAACAAGAGAACAAATGTATTAAGCTATCTCAACACAACAGAATATTACAGAGCAGTGAAATGGATTTGTCCTCATGGATAAATCTCACATACAGAATGCTGAGTGAGAAAGCAAGATGTAGGAGAATATATACATATGATTCCATTTATATAATCTATAACATGTAAAACTAACCATGTATTATTTAGGAGGGAAAAAGAGGACATTGCCTCCTGGAACTTGTAATAGATATTCTGTCCTCTATGTCTTTAGCCATCATAGTCCAGTTTCTAAAACCAGTGACATACTCTGTACTTCCTTTGGATCTGTCATCTGGGTCACTAATCTCCCCTTCAGCTTTGTTTTAATTTCCTGTTGAACTCCACATTAAGTCATTATTTTTGTATATTTTTTATTTTTGAAAGTTCTACGGTTCTTTTTGTAATATTCTGAAGTATTCCTTCATCACACTCTTCACACTTTTTCTTCTAGTTCTTTAAGCACGTAATGACTGTGAATTCACATCCTTGGGACTTCACCTTTGAAAATTCTGTGAAGTCTTAGTCCAGGCACATTCCTCTAGTGATAAGCAGGATCTGTCCTGCCAGCCACTGGGCCTCTATCCACCCAGCTACTTTAAACTTCATGCTTGTTTGGGTTCCTCAGGCCATACAGGTACCAGGAAGTTTGGACAGGGAACCCATGGCAGCTTGTGGCTATGCATTATCCAGAACCTGAGTGTTCTTCTCTTAGATCCAAGGATGTGAAGTCTCAGACATGTAGGGCAGAGGTCTTAGAGGGCCTTGTGAATTAACTACATTAATTTACTATTTAGAGATCCCCCATTATTCAAGGTGTGACCCTTGAAGGCTCCTACTTTGGGAGGAAGGGTCTTCATGGCAATCTATTATCCTGTGTGGCCCTCAGTTTTGTTTCTTATTTTCCCGGGTATGTGTAGCTCACTGAAATGCCAGCTCTAGGTCACTGGAGACGGGGAAAAAAAAAAATCACAGGACAAATGCTGACTCTGGCTTCCTTCCGTTTCGGATCCTGAGAATTTCCTTAGTTTTTAGTAGGTTCAGTTGCTCAAGTTTTTAAAAAATGCTTTCTCCCCCAAATTTATCCAGCACTTTCCGTGTCCTACGCTGGGAAGGACCTCTGAATACCTGGCCAAAAAGGAAGCATGCCCATGATTTGTCTACCACAATTTGCTTTGTTTTCATTAATTTTTCTCCCCTCATGGTGTCCTCCATATTTGGACCTGCGTACTGAGTCCTCAGTTTACCCACCTCAGCATTATACTAGGGAGGATGCTCTATCTCCAGCAGAAGCAGATAGTACCACTATGCTACCACCCTGTATAATAATACTGCTATAAAATAATAGTAATAATGAAGCTAAAGCAGCAAGACAGTCATGGCATCCCGTTGGAAATGAAGTTTACAAGTCCCCATTATGGATAATTTGCCCCACTCCTAGTTCCCCCTGGCATCAGGCCCTACTCTTTATCTGATCTGGTCTCTCTATGTGTGCTCTCTGCTGTGCATATTTAACCAACTGAACATAAACCGGGTACTGATTTACCAAGTGCCACAGCCTGGGAGGCAACTGGAGGTGTGGTCTCCACCTCTGGGGCAACACACAGGTGAGCAGGTAACTGACAGTGCCAGCTGCCAGAGCTGTCAGGTGAAGGCAGTGGTGAGGAAGACCCAGCGAGAATGAACGGCCAGATAGGAAATGTCCTCGTGCACTGAGCTACACACACACACACACACACACACACACAGAGTGATCAAAAAGTACAGTGAATATTTAAATTAAAAAAAGTTTTTAAAACCCATTACAGTAAAAGACACATTGTCAGAATGATGACATGTGTGTTCAAACCAAGGAGGAGGAATTGTGATGGAGAGTAATGGCAATGTCTTTTACTATAATAAATTTTTTATTTAAACATTCACTGTGTTTTGTGATCTGCTCTTGTTATCACACATTTGCAGCAATTTCTTGTCAAGTGAAAATGTGACTGTGTGTCCTCTTCCTCCTTATTCATAGGATCTGGCACTGTGTGACTTCTGGCTCTTCCCCAGAGTCAAAATGATCATGAAAGGGAAATGTTTTGAGTCAATTCAGGACATTGAGGCATCCATGACAGCGCAACTAAAGACAAGCACAAAAGAGGACTTCCAGAACTGCTGCAGAAAGTGGCAAGAATGATGGGATAAGTTGGGAGCAAGGAGAAATATTTTGATGGGGATTCATGGTAATATGTCTTTTACTGTAAATATTCTCCATATTTTTGTTTTCTTTCTTTCTTTTTTTTTTTTTGGTTTGTTGAGGCAGGGCCTCACTTTGTAGCTCAGGCTGGCCCTGAACTCACCATGTAGCCCAGGCTGGCCTCAAACTCGAGGTGATCCTCCTGCCTCAGCCTCCAAGTGTTGGGATTACAGGTGTGCACTACCACGCGTGGCAATATTCTCCGTATTTTTTTTTTGGTACCAGGGATCGAACTTGGGTCTTTGCACTTGTGAGGCAGGCGGTGGAACCACTGAGTTAAATCCCCGGCCCTATTCTCCATATTTTTTGTGATCACACCTCATACACTGATTCTTGTCATCAAACAAGAAATACAAGCAAATCTCTGTTTTTGGAAGAGAGGAGAGGAAAGAGGCCAGAGGCAGAAAAACATATGAGAAGCTAATGAGTCCATATGAGAGGGCCAAGGGCAGAGCTCAGTGACAGAGCATTTGCCCAGCACAAGGCCCTGGGATGGACTCCAACACTGCAAAAAACAAAACCAAAAAGCGAACAAGAGTTCAAATGGGAGATGAGCAGGACCTGTACTGTGGCCCTGGGCTCTTCCTTCCCTGACTTACTACCACATATTTTAGGAATAAATGAAATGTTACCTTATATTGCACTCTATTTTTGAACAGGGTCCACTAAGGTGCCCAGGCTGGCCTCAAACTCAAGATCATTCTGCCTCAGCCTCCCATGTAGCTGGCATTATAGGCATGTGCCTCCATAATAAGACCATGTATTATAATCTTAAAATAGATTTCTAGTACATCTCTTATCAGACTACAAAATGGTTGCTTTTCTTATTTTTCTTTCCCATAAGGTTCATGTATTATTGCTCCAATTCCTGGCACACAGAATGTATTCACAACACCTTTCCAGAACACTGCTCATCTCCTCCTTTACCAGTGCTGGCCACACAGCACCTTCCCAATTAATAGCCAGTGAATTACACTGGTGAGAAGCCCCTCCGGAGGTCAGCTTTTCCAGCTCACACTCAAGTCCTAAGAGCAGAAGAAAATACCTCGCCAATGGCCTTGATCTTGCTCAGGCAGCTCCTCATGGCCATGCTGTCGGCATTCTCGAGGGTGGCCTCTTCCTCCAGCGAGGCCAGGTAGGCGAGGGTTTCCTTGCCGTACTCCTTACAAGCCTCTGTCAGTGCTGGAAACCCAGGGTGACAGGGATGTTTAAAGACCCCTTGCTTGTCCTACTTTCAGGGCAGCCCCTGACCCCCGGCACTCACAGTCCGCGGGCTCCGGTGGGGCCCTGAGGCTGGTGCTGTTCCCGTGAACAATGATGTCGCTGGTCAGGTGGCCGAGCAGGGTGACAGAGTGCAGGAGGTCACCTATATCTGCCAGAAGTGGGAAGAAACATCTCAGGCCAGGTGGAGGATGTCACTTTCCGACCCTCTGCTTCCCGCTTTCAAGATCACACACACTCCTTTCCCTGGTGCACACGGACCTGTCACTGCTCCCACATGGCAGCACTCCCGAACCCTGCCTGGCTGCCTCTAGTGACAGTCTAGCCCTCTGCCTTCTCACCTTCTGGGCAGGCCAGGTACTGGCTCCGACTCTTCTCCAGGTGCTCGATGCAGCTGGAAACAGATTTGACCTTGGAGAGAAGGTGATCTGTGAGAGGGAAGACAGGGCAAAGTCAGAGCAAGGGTTCTCAGGGGTGTGTCCCCCTCTCTAGGGAAGTGCTGGGCAGTGGGAAGGCTGCTGGCCGCACTGCTTCTGATGGGAAGTACTGGATCCTCTCACTGCATGGGGGAGCCATGCTGCTGAGCCCACCTCGGCCTCAGCATTGAGCTGGGAATTCGGTGCTGGCCCAGGTTCTGCCTCTTTCCTCTCACACTGGCCGCCACATGAATCCTGCAAAGTCCTTCAAAGCCCTTTGAGTCTCACTGCCCACCACTGGCTCTTTGGCGGCCCTATAATCTGGCTCTGGACCCCCGTCATTTCTACTGCTGGGCCTCTGGCCACTGATCCACCAAGACCACACAGCTTAGGAGCTGAGAGCATGGCCCAGGGCTGGCTCCTGGTTCTGCCATTCTCACTGGGCTGTGTGACTTCAGGTTGGCTGTGCCCGCCTCATCTGAAAGCAGATGAATGACAGGACCTCCTCATGGAAACACTGGGAGGGTGAGCTGGGCCAGGACATGTCCACGCGAGCCCTAAGGACAGTACCTGGCGCATGGGAAGCTCTCAATACAAGTTACGTGTTTCTATTTTTATTTATTTATTTACTTATTGTATATGGGGCAGGGTACTGAATATTAAGCCCAGGGCCTTTGCATCAGCCCCTTAAATTATTTATTTATTTTGGTACCGGGATCGAACTCAGGTCCTTGCGCTTGTGCAGCAGGCATCGAAACCACTGAGTTAAATCCCTAGGCCCTTAATTTTTTATTTTGAGACAGGGCCCCTACTAAATTGCCCAGGCTGGGCTCAAATTTGCAATCCTCCTGCCTCAGTTTACCAGAGTGCTGGGATTATAGGTGTGGTCAATGTTCATGACAGCCTTTATTTATTTATTTATTTGGTACTGGGGATCGAACTCAGGACCCTGTTTTCGAGGCAGGCAGCAGCACCACTGAGCTACATCCCCAGCCCAAATGGACCTTTTGCTTACGTGTGATTTTGTAAGGCCTTTTTTTTGTTTTGTTTTGTTTTTTGGTACCGGGGATTGAACTCCGGACCTTGTGCTTGCACGGCAGGTGCTGGAACCACTGAGCTAAATTCCCGGCCCCATGAGAGGTTTTTAAAAAATTGCTTCCTACTTCCATTTCTCTCTACTAATTCATCTCTCTCTCTCTCTCTCTCTCTCTCTTTCCTTCCAGTACTGAGGATTGAACCCTGGGACGCTAAACCTCCCAGCCCTTTTTATATTTTATTTTGAGACAGGGTCTCACTAAGCTGCCCAGGTTGGGTTTAAGCTTGAGATTCTCCTGCTTCAGACTCCCAAGTACTGGGATTGCAGGTGTGTGCACTGCACCTGGCTCTCTGCTCTTCAAAGCCTCATTGGCCAGTGACTGCGGTGCCTGGTGTCCCCAGAGCCAAGCGGGCACTCGCCATGCTCTTTCACTGTCACTGTCTCCGTACAGACGGCCCCACTGAGTAGGCCACAATAAGGCCTGCTGTATACTCTGTCAAATCAGAATCCTTCCGTTTGGTAAAGAAACCAGCTGTCATCTACATCCTCTCTTCTGCTTGCCCTTCCTTGGGATGGCTTGGGACTCTGCCAGCTGTCCCCTTGGCTTAAAAACGAGCTGCAATAAGGACTGTTCTTGGTGGGGTCCCGGGCCTCACAAGTCTGCGCTGGAGCACTCTCCCACCTCCCTGTCCTCCATGGCAGGGCTCCAGATGGGGACAGTGCTACACCCGCACACCCTCAGGCCTCGTCTACACGCACACTGGGCCCTGCACATCCTGTGGCCAGGTGGGGACTTTCCCTCTTCCCACCATGCCATGCCACATGGCTGCCTCCCTGCCTCCTCCAGTTTCTGAGACCTCCTAATTCCATCCCTAGTTTTCTCCTCAGGGAGATGCCTCCTTTTTCAGCTTACAGTTGTTTCAGAGTCCTGCTCACAGTGTAACCCACCGAGGAAAGCAGTGGTTATCACACTCTGAGCCTAAGGACAGTCCAGCTGCCTGGGCCCTGCCACAGAGCTCCTGATGTGACTAACCCTGGTCTCCAAGGATGCTGACAGGCAGCTGGGAGGGAGACAGTACCTGTGGACCCCGCGCAGCTGATGAGCACAGGCTCCTCAAGCTGGCTCAGCGCCTCCTGCACCATGTGCTCCACAGCCTTCCTGGACCGCAGCAGCAGCGCCTTCCGCTGGTCTTTGGCAAGCTGGCACATAGACTCCTAGAACAGCCCAGGGAGGTGAGAATCTGCCCGGCCCATCCCGGGCCCAAGTAGCATCCACTCGGGACCTCGCTGGCATCACTGGGCTCTTGCTCAGGCTGTCATGAAAGGTCCAAGCCAGTGTGCTTGAAACACAAAAAGAAACTTGGATGTGGGCTACAGGTATGTGCAGTGGACCGCAGCGACCCACTCTCCACACCTGGGGACAATGTGGAGCGCTTCCCTCCTCATATGAAAGTAGGTGCCTTGCCTTTGTTCACTGGCTGGCACTACGAGTGATGCCCAGACAAGGCCCTGGCAAGCAGGCTGACGGCCCGACCCATTACACATCCACGCCTCCACGCACGCTGACCCTCGAGGGTGAGTGTCCTGCACTTGCCTGTGTGCTGGCCAGTTTGAGCTGGGAGCACTGCAGCTGCTCTCGAAGGGCTGCCAATTCCTTCTCCTGACCTGCCGCGGCACTCGCCAAGCTGTCCCGCTCCTTCTCTAGCTCGGTGATCTGCACTGTGCATTTCGCTTCTGACTATAATGGAGACAGCATGGGAAGGAGGCGCTGGGAAAATCAGGCTGTTCCCTCCCAGAGGTCCAAACCCTCCACCTGGCGCCAAGGAGCAGCCGGTGATGTTTCCTCAGCCCGCTGCTCTCACTGCCCTGTGCTCACAGCAGGACCCACTTGGTTGTGGGCAGGATGCTGGGGGCTGGCGAGGAAGGAGTGCTGGGGACCAGACTCACCTTGGCAGAGGTCTCCAGGTTGCTGTGGAGGAGCTGCAGCTCCTGCCTACTGGTGGCGAGCTCTTGTTTCAAGCTCTCTAGAACTTCCTGCTGTTCCTGGGTCTGAAAAAGCAGCAGAAGACACCGCTGAGTGGGGTGATGGTTAGAAGGGAGATGCAAATGCCAAAGTTTCCCAAGCTATTGATGTGAGACTCTGTGCTCTGGTTTATGAAGTTGCACCCCGACAAAAAGCTGGGGGCCAGGGCAGAAGGAGGCAATGCTCCAGACTGTACCACTGCCTTTTCTTCTGGCTAAGGGGAATGTCAAGGGAGAGCCCGCAATATGGATTAAGGTGGAACTCAGCCTGTGATTTAGGCATCCCAACACCTAGAATACTATTTTGTTTTGCTTTTTGGGTCAGGCTCTTACTATGTAGTCCAGGCTGGCCTCAAACTCACAGCGATCCTCCTGACTCAGCCTCCTGAGTGATGGGATCACAGGCGCACACCACCACAGCCAGCCCAACACTTAGAATACTGTAGACTACAACATCTCACCATCTTGAATAAACTCCCTTTCTTTGATTTCTTTTTCAAGTGGTGTTTTTCAAAGAGTGGGTTACTACCTGTTAGGAATTCACAGCTAACACTATAAAATGGTCTAAATGGACAGAAACTGTCCCAAAGCATCAAATAGGAAGGATAAGTCTTACTTGGTAAAAGGTTACTTCCAGGAGGTAGATGTATACTCTACTCTGGGTCACAGAAAGTGCAAAGGTCATTCCTCTAGTCTCAGGCACTCGGTCTTACCCACCTGATATCTCCCATGAGATGTCCTGTAACCTGCCAACCCTACAGCGACACAACATTGTTTGCTTGTCTGTAAATCTTTGTAAATATGCATTCCTTTCTTGCTTTCCCTTCCTCAATCCTTGTTCTTGGGAAGCTTTCTGCTGACGAATCTCGCTCCTCTTGAGTCCTGTCATTACTTCCTACTCTGAATTGTGCATGCCTCAGTGACCATGTCCCACTGCTGTCCTCAAACGCACTCTCAGGGCCACCCATGGAGCAGACAATAAAGTCCCATCACGAGCCACCTTCACCCTATCCCCCAAGTGCTCTTCCTTCCATTCACCTTCCGCTGGGCCTGGTCACTTACACGCTCAAAGGAATCTTCAAGCTCTTTTTTCTCTCGTTCCAAATCTGCCTGTGCTTGCCTGGCCATGGAGACCTGTTTGGTCACCTCTGCATTCTGTAAGGAAGAACAGTGCCTTGAGTTGGTGTCTCTCAGGCTCATAGGACATCTTCCTTCTAGGACCAATTACCCCATTCAGACACGAATGCCTAGGAGTTGGACACCAATCACTTCCCTACCCACAGGGATGCCAGAACTCAGCCATGACCTTCAGATACTGCACTGCAGTATTTCCAAAAATAACAAAGATGGTGGGTAAGTCTAAGAGAGACTGGCACCTAAGACAGAGCTCAAGATACGCAAGGCGAAAGGGCTTGTGGAGCTAGGGTTCCCAAGAAATGGGGTGCTGCCATCTCCCCTGTGGTGCCGGGTCTGTGGGATGGTGAGAGGGGTGGAGGTCCTACCTTCCGCAGCAGGTCAGCATGGTTCTGAACCAGCTCGCTGTACTTCTCCTTGAGCTTGCTATACCGCTGCTCATTGGCCTGGGCCTTCCCTGCATCATCAAGGACTGAGGTGAGGTGTCACCCATGGCTAGGACCCTCAACCCTCCTCCTTCCGTAAGGACACAGACCTTCTTCTCCCTCCAAACTCCTACTTACAGAGACTTCTCTGAAGTCTTCTTTTAAAAAAGACATCGAAAAGAATTCACCTGACTAAAATCCTTCCTCTGATTTGTACCTCCTCGGCATTTCTGTACAGGACACTCCTGTCACTGGGGATTTCAGCCTTTAGTTCAATTTTTTTCCTTAGGCCTTCGCCCTGCTTCCTTCCTCTTTGGGAGTCCCCTACCCCAGGGCGGCCACCCCTTCTTCACCTCTGCAGTTCCTGTCTCTGTGGGCCCAGTAGACGCTGCATCTGCCGCCCTCAAGTCTGTCCCTCTGGCCAGTGACGGGGCTGGCATTCCTACAGCACTTCCTTGTCCTGAGTGTGCCCAGAACCTGCTCTCAGGCCCAGCCCCGAGCCCTCTCACTCTCTATCTCTGTCAGGCTCCGCTGTGCCTTCTCTGTGTCTTCCCGCTGCTTCTTGAGCTCGTCCAGCTCTGCCCGGAGGAACTCGCAGTCATCGGTTGCCTGC